TGATGCCCTCATGACACGTGAATGAAGTCGAGTTGACATATGCTACAACAATCATGTGTTACCCTTACATACATCAATATTTGTCTCTCACCCCCCTTTTCATGAAACAGTAGATACAGTAAATGGAACATTCCCATTTTACCTGTTGAAAAGCAGAACACTTCTGTCATTGATCTGAAGAAGTTACGCAGGCCGAACTCTGTGTTTGCCTGCTGAGACAGAGAGGAATGTGAAGTGATATTGAAACAGTGACAGGGATTACGTAAGGCATTCCCGACACACACGTGTGTGTGTTCTGTGCAGCAGCATGGCTTGTGATTGACAGCTGGGCCGTCCAATCAGAGCCTGGTATAGTACAGTAGTAGAAATAGAAAAAAAAGTTTAAGAAACAGAACCAAATAAGCAAAGCAATACAAAAGTTACTTAAAATTAAAAAAATATAACAAATATAATAAATAATAATATAATCTTTTTTTTTTCTTAAAAGGAAAACCATATATATATCCTATGAAGACAAATATCCATACTAAAAAGACAATATTACTCAGAAAATGTATAAAAGTTAGGAAAAAACTGAAAAGAAATGATGGCTAAATTTTGGACCCAAAGATATTTGGGTCCAAAATAATTGGAAAAATTTTTGGATGTAGCAAAACTAGCTCAGCAGATAAAACTGTGAACTGTGTGTCTGGTTTGATTGGATATTGTCTAATGCATGGTCTATATTCACTGTTTGTTCTTATTATCACTGGTTTGCATGTTGTTAATAGTACTACATCCGCATTGCCTTGTGACCATAATGTTGTCGGTATCTCTGCTAAGAGGTTCTCTTCTTCTTTTGTCACCAGAATTTGGACATTTTCAGTGGAAAGTTCAGTGAAGGGCTGTAGTAGGTGTTCTGATTGCCATTCCCAATCAAGATGGTATGCAGCTGAGGTAGCAATCACGCCCAGTCGTTGCCATGACAGTCTTTTTTGTTTTGCTAATGAAACATGGGTCACCGTACTTGCTGCATGTAATCTCTCTGCTTCTTCTGAAACCTTGACAGTAGCAACAGCTATGCAGTCTTTATCTGTTATTATGTCTTGTATTAGAATTTGTTGAGATTTCAGTTTGTGCACCTCAAAATCATCGTCTTGCCCTGGAGTGTGCCTTAAACGCAAAGTTACATGCAGATTATTGACTTGTTGGATTTGGTCTGGCATTTTTAACACATCTGTTATTTTGCTAAGCAATGTTGTTGGGACACTCAAAAGCAGACCAGTGTTCAAATCTAATGACCAGAAATAGTTTGGCGTGCCTGTTCCTTGCACAACCATAACATCAGTGTTTATTGTGTCTATTCTTTTCACCAGTCTCATCGGGCACAATCGCTAGTCGTAACTGTGACATTGCATCTCTTCCTAATAAGTTTACTGGACAATTTGGTGCCAAAATATTTTGCACTCGACTATTTCCATTTTCTGGATTCTTTTGATTCTGTTATGCCTTTTAATTCTTCACAGCACACAGTTCTACATGCTCCCGTCGGCTCTTTTGTTTTTGGTTGGTCCAAGGTTTTTTAACTTGGATACAAAGGTTGGTGGGGAGGGGAGGGTTGAGAACGTGTCATACGTTCTTCTGTATTTGCATCATCTGAAAGGGGAGTTGCTGTATCAGCACATGTTATATCTTCTTTTATCTCTGCATCATCTAAACGTGGAGACGTTTTATCAGCACACTCTCGGTTCTTGCGTATGTTTGATGCTATTGTTTCATTGTCCTCAGGTCTGACATACAGTACATAGTTTTGTTTTTGCTCACGTTTGATTGTAGGTTTTTGTTTTGAAGCATTGCTTCTGTTTTTAATTGTTTTAGTTCTATTCCATTTTTTTCTTGCGCAAGATTGTTGAAGCCACCATTCAGCCGCACTCAGCCCAAGCTTCTCTTTCTTTTTTTAATTGCCTTTTGCCTCTCTTTTTATGGCTCTTTTATGCCTCTTTTTAAGCTCTTTGCAGTCTTCCTGTTTTAACCCATATTTCAACCACGCACTGGTAATAAAAAATTGTTTCTCACCCTTGTCGTCGATCTTATTCTGGTATCAGATGCCGTCAATCAGCAGCTCAGGATCAGGTATCGGAGAACTGGCTGAGTGAGAATTCACTCCCCAGGTCTATCCCCAGAACACTAGTTCTGGCCGTGCATGGTCTTCAGTCGTCCTCCACCTGAGCCTTAGGTTCCGCTTAATTTGTTGGCATCCGGCTCGAAAGACCAAGTTATGTTAGGTTTATTCTAATATATATGATGACAAAGTAACAACACAAAAGACGTCTTGATCTTTTACTTGCAAGGGGAGAGTGCCACACCCTTCCTCTGTACTTTTATTGAGTTTATAAAAGTATCAGATTACATATCATGTGATCGTGTGTGAGTATATGAATGGGTATGGAGTAAGAAGGTGGGTGTGAATGTAGGTGTGGCTGTGTCTGGTAATTTCTCCATCAGTCTTGAGCACACTAGATTATAATATGAGAAGCAAACAGTTTCTTAAAGCAACAGTACAGCATGAAACAATGATGATACATCAAATTCTTCCAACAGTATTGTAAATATAAATATATATACAATACATATAATTGTAATTTTATTGTATTTCATGCATTATATAGAACATCAAGCAACATACAGTCTTTTATTTTTAAATTACATAATTTGGTACATTTAGAGTAAAAAACTAGATGCGTAACTTGCTGTATCATATTATATAATAATACATTATATATATATAAATATATATTATATATGTAAATATAATATATATAATATATATATCTGGAGTGGCGCTTTGGCCCAGAGGCAATGTCTCTGTCATTGGTGTGGAACCCTAGGGTTCACCTCCTGGGCATGCATTATGGTAGCACTTTTTATATTTGGAATTACAAATTTGTTAGATTTGTTTGCATTTTATTATGTTTTTGTTTGTTCAGAAAAAAAGAATGTTTGACCATTGTGAGTGGCGCTTATGCCCAGAGGCAATGTCTCTGTCATTGGGTATGAAAATGGATGGATGAAAATGGATGGATGACCATTGTGACCCTATGTATCAAATATGATACAAATTGAAACTCATATGGAAAATGATATCTGATTTATTTATTTATTTTTTGTTGTTTCTTTAGAGGGACTAAGATGTTACAAGATGGTGGCACGCTGCGGCTTCTCGTGCTCCCGACGTCGAGTACTTTTTAAGTGCCTTTTCAGTTGGTTCCGAGGGCAACTCTAACTGTTCCGCTTGTGTAAACAAGCTCGTAAGTTACAGCCGGACAGAGTGCAAGCGTAAGCGGTGTGCACGGAAGCAGAAGAGGGGCATGCGGGGCGGGCTACTGGCTAAGCTAAAGGCTAACACTGGGAGACCACCGATCCCGTCTCTGTTCCTGTCCAATGTCCGCTCACTGGACAACAAAATGGATCTGCTCCGACTGAGGCTGGAGGTTTATTGTGAGATGAGGAACTGTGCAGTGCTTTGTCTGACGGAAAGACAACATGTCGGACCCAGCTTTCCACATCGATGGCCGGCTTCTGTTTCGAGCAGACCGTAACCAGCAGTCAGGGAAAACCCTTGGAGTCGAACTATGTGTCTATATCAACAAAGGTTGGTGTACAAACCGCACTCTGGTAAAGTTTACAGCAGTGTTTGTTGCTAACGGAGCTGCACACTAAAATCAGCTCGCTCCAGCACAAGCACCCGGAGGCGTTCTACGTGGTTGCAGGGGATTTCAACCACGTAAACCTGACAGACACCTTCCTAAATTTTACCAGCATGTCAACATACCGACACGGGGAGATAACACGCTGGACCGTGTGCACACCAATAAGAGACACGCATACAGAGCCGTCTCCCACCCCCACCTGGGTTTCTCCAACCACATCACCATCATGCTGGTGCTTGTCTATCGCCCCCTGCTCAGACGCCACGCACCCACACAGAGGACTATCACCATGTGGCCCAGTGATGCAGGACAATTTTTGGCTACTCTACCCTAATGCAACGGGGTGGAGGAAGAAGGAAGAACAACGCGCAGCTTCTGATCCCTGATGGTTCAGCTTCTTTTTCATGCTCACATTTACATTTATTTTCTCTGGTTTATTTCTGTTCCTCTCCAGAACTGTCTATTTTAAGCACCTAAGACATTAAGACGTTCACTTCAAATGGCAATTATTTACAAAACTCAGTGTGTGAATCTGTGACTTTCCTTAGCCACTATTTGTACTGGTTGATTGAGCATTCAAGTGTGCGGACAGACCACATAAACATAATGCATAGACACACACATTGGGAGGTCTGCTTCATCTGTTTCCAGCATGACACACACAGAGGGAGGTGTAGTGTTGGGGGGTGGCTAGATTGAGGGTGGATGTAGCATTAATCACCGTCCAGGTGGAAATTGTCAGAGCAATCGATTGTGCAAGTAAATGTTACACAAGTCATGTTTCAATTTCCACCCTGTTTCTTTACAGACCTGTGTGTTATTTGCAAAGATACAACTGTGAATGCAAACTCAAAGACACGTTAGATTCCACAGTCGACTGGCAGTGTGACGAGTGTCACCGACAACAAAGTCACTTAGCAGTGTGTCAAAGAGAGACAGCAAAGACAAATCATGTCGCCATATTGTGCCTGCACTGAAAGAAAAACAAAAGATGAGTTCCAATTATATTATATGGTACAGTGCAAAACAAACAGACACTTGGGTGTGGAATAAAAACCCGGATACAGCTGGGTGTCCACCTGCATGCATGGTAGTAACTGGGTCAGATCAGAATCAGAAACATTTTTATTGCCAGGTAGGTTTTTTACCTACGAGGAATTTGTTGTGGCATACAGTGCAGCAAAAGAAATGTACATGAAGGTGTACAAATGTTGATAAAATAAATTTAATTATGCCTATGGGTGGACATTTACAGAATAGTACAGAAAAGTGCTGTGTGTGCAGGTAGGGGTGGGTGGGGGGAGTGGGGGGTCAATGAGAGTCTTTTTGTCTGTTGCCAGAGGGGAGCACCGCAAAGAGTTTGTGACCGGGGTGAGAGGGGTCCGTTGCAATCTTTTTTGCTCGCTTTAGGTTTCTGGAGGTGTACAGGTCCTGTAGCGAAGGTAAGTTGCAGCCAATTACCTTCTTGGCAGAGCGGATGGTACGCTGCAGTCTGCGCAGATCCTTTGCAGTGGCAGCAGCAGAGATGGAGGAGGTGAGGATAGACGACGATGGAGGTGTAGAAGTTCACCATCATTGACTTTGGCAGATTGAACTGTTTCAGCTGCCTCAGAAAGTACATCCTCTGTTGGGCTCTTTTGATCAGGGAGCTGATGTTTAGCTCCCATTTAAGGTCCTGGGTGATGATGGTTCCCAGGAAGTGGAAGGGTTCCACAGTATCCACAGGAGAATCACTCAAGGTGATGGGCGGGGGTGGGCTTGTCCTGAAGTCCACTGTCATCTCCACTGTTTTTAGGGCATTGAGCTCTAAGTTGTTGAGTCTACACCAGGTCACCAGGTGGTCAATCTCCCATCTGTACGCTGACTCATTTACATCAGCGTGAATCTGATGAGGGTGGTGTCATCTGCCAACTTCAGGAGCTTGATGTTCTGATCGCTTGAGGTGCAGGTCTTTGTGTACAAGGAGAAGAGCAGAGGAGAAAGATCACAGCCCTGCAGAGAGCCAGTGATGATGGTCCGAGAGTCTAAGGTGTGCTTCCCCATTCTCACATGCTGACTCCTGTCAGGAAGTCAGTGATCCACATACAGGTGGAGTCAGGTACACAGAGCTGGAATAGTTTATTCTGTATGATAGCTGGGATGATAGTGTTGAAGGCTGAGCTAAAATCCACACACAGGTGTAGGTTCCTGTGTGGTCCAGATGCTACAGGGTGAAGTGGAGGGCTAAGTTGACCGCATCCTCTACAGACCTGTTGGCTCTGTAGGCAAACTGCAGGGGGTCCAGGAGTGGATCAGTGATGGCTTTCAGGTGTGTCAGGACAAGGCGTTTAAATGACTTCATGACCACAGAGGTTAGGAGGGTTTTTGCTTTTTAGGGACAGGGATGATGGTGGAGTATTTGAAGCAAGATGGCACTTAGCATATCTCCAGTGAGGTGTTGAAAATGTCCGGCTGCTTTGCTGGGGTTTTGTTTTTTTTAAAGCCTATTCACGTCTTGCTCTTTGATAGCAAGAGTCGGTCCAGTGGTGGAGGTGAGGGGGGAAGCTAGGGGAGCTGAATAAGGTGTCGGAGTTCCTGCAGTGGGTGGGGTGGGCGTGGCTGTGCAGGGGAAAGTTGTCCCATTGTCTTTCAAATTGACAGTAGTGGTCGTTCAGCTCATTTGCAAGGCGCATGTTGTTAATGGGGGGGGGGGGGGGGGGTGTGTGTTTT